CAATCAACCAGCAAAACTCATCTGTCAATACTGTCAACCCACTTGCCAAAGTCAACAGTGGTATGGTCATCTCTTCTTCATTGGCTAATGCGAACAGCAGTGCTTTAAGGAATGTGAGCTCTGCTCTAGTTAGCCAACCAATAACTAGTTCTGTGAATACCATGAAAAATGTTATGTTAAAAGTGACTTCACAGCTAGGTGGGCCTGGACAGTTTGTTCAGGGCTACATGACTCCAAGAGGTTTAGTGATTCCCCAGGCAGCTCTCTTACAGCAGCAGCAGCAAAATAGTAATGTTATTAGTTTGAATGTCTCACAGCCTGGTGCCATTACTCAGATTCAAGCTGGTGGTATATCTCAAATACAAGCTAGTAACATTACAACCGTGCAGCCTGGCAATATCCAGCAAGGTACTCAGCAAACATTTCCCATGGCTAATGTTAACCAGCAATCTATAACACACCAACTTCAACAGCCATCCTCTCAGCAGATTCTTATCAACTCACCTCCTTCTTCAACTGGTATAGTGAATAACAACACTAACCCCAACCTCAAAGTTATGTTCTTGAATTCCACTGTTACCTGCAGCCAGTCTTCCTCCACCTCCAACAGTATTATGACATCAGTCCAGCCAAGCAATACTCCAGCCTCAGAGCTGGTCAAACAGCTGGCTAATAACTCACACATCCAAAGTAATGGGCCACAATCAGTAGCCATTAGCCCAGGAGCTAATCCACAAAACCAACCCCATATTCTTAGTAATATGATCCAGGGAACCAGTTTGCAGATCAGTAACTCAACAATTTTGCCCACTCAGACAATTTTGAATGCAGGTGTTTCACCACAGTTGGCACAGATCTTCACTTTGCAACAAGGCAGTGCCATGCAACAACAGCCCAACATCGTGATTACAACAACCAAGCCATCTTCAGTTCAGAGCAAACCATCAGTTGTGTCCTTACAGCTTCAGCAACTTGGACAGTTTCTGAATTTGGGCAGTGTTTCCCAAGTTCAGTTGCCACAACAACAGCTGGCTTCCCTCCAGCAACTTGGTAACACCAGTAGAGTTGGGCAACCTAACCAGGTGTTGCAGTTAGCCATCAATCCCCAGGTAGGTGGCCAAACCATAATGGCGGCTCCACAAGGTCCTCAAATTGTCAGGGTTGCAACTCAGTTGAGTCCACAAGTCCAAAGCCAAGGGTTACCTCAGATGCAGTCCCAAAACAATATTATCATTCAACAACAGCAGGGTCAGAATATAGTTGTTCAGCAACAGGGTGTTATAGGAAATGCCAACCAGCAGTTCTCTACCTTACAGCAGGCCTCCAAGGCTTCAACTTTAGCCACAACCAAGATTACCACTAGTGTTGGTCAGAATTCAAACAATCTTGTTATATCTCAGCTGCAGTCTTCAGTTTCTACACCCACCCCCATTAACCAAATCCAATATGTTCTGAATTCTTCACCAGGGACACAGCCCGGTGTTTCTGCACTCAATAAGATATCTGTTGGGTCCTTAACTGGCACAGTTAACAGAATCATAAGGGCAGACTCGGGTACAACATTACAGGTGCTACCACCACAAGGAACTGTGTTAACCAATGCATCCAGGCAAGCTGCAGCACTTACAAACAAAGGAGCTGTGTCCCAAATGATCATCCCAAATACAGCTCCTGGCCAGTTTCTCATTTCACCTGTTAAACTAGCCCCACAGAATCAACAAGCGAATCTTATCAGCCCTATCAAATATATAGGTGCTTTGCAGAGTCCAAGTTCAGTGTCAGGTCAGAGTTCTAACCAGTTTGTTATCAGTTCAGCAATGGCTGGTTTACCGGCTCAAGTTTCTGTTAAACCTTCAGTCATCTATGCCAGTCAGGCCAATGGTGATAAAAAAGAGGGTAAAGTTGCACAGTTACTGCTTGGTCAGCCATCCAACTCCCAGCAAGCTAGCAGTGCAGTATCTGTAACTTCTGGACCAAAACTGGCTGGCGGTGAGTCAAAGACAATTTTATACAAGATAGGAGACCAGTACTTCTCTCCTGCCAGCAATGTGTCTGGTACCAACCTCCCACAGGTGTCCACAAACATAATCCCTGCAATGGTTGCCAATGCTAAAACAGATGTCCAATTATTGGTACCCCCTGCTTGTATTGAGGCATCAGATCAGATTCTCAAGCACACCACTACAGTAACATCAACCAACATGGTACCTACAGCTACACCAACATCAAACCAGATTCTTGTACAAAATCGCTCCGTGAGAAACCCTGAACAATCTACTGGCTCAGTAAATGGAATTCACCAGGGCAATACTCAGTTTTCATTCTCTTTATCTGGTCCAACTACTCTAAGTAACAAGTCAGCTCATAGAGCTGATGGACTAGTCTTGGTAAATGGTCATGCCTCAGTCAGCAACCATAATACAAGTAAAGTTGTCTCTCAAGATGCAATGAGTAAGCTTACCTCCTCCAAAGCCCAGTTCCCCTCTGACCAGATTTCTGGTCCAATGACTCAATTAAGACCAATGTCCAATGATGAATTAAGTCTTCAGGAGCAAAATGAAAAAGAAGCTGCACTCAATCTGCTGACACTAGCCAACCAGAATCTTTAACCTTCAAACTAGTAGCTAGTACATTTCTGTCACTACTTAGAATATCCCATCACTACTTAACACAAATGTCTTCTTGTTACTAAGTTCATTATATTTCATTGATTTTGATGGTTGTTGAACACTTTGTTTAAAATTTCATTTGGTGTCAAAACTTTCCACAGCAAACATTTAGAAGTAGGGCACTTGAATTATAGTTTGATTGAATTCCATTAAGGAAGCCTTTTTTTTTTTCTCTTACATGTTTGACCTCAACTATTGAGATGTAAAGATGATAAATATGTGCAATATTTGACTTTGTGATGAATACTAGTTTTGTAGGAACAGTGAGTTGTAAGGAACATATTATGTAGATCTAGTTTTATAAGAGTGATAATTTCAGTCAGTCTTTAACATGTATTTTAGGACCATGTTAGGAAGTTTTATGTAGAAATGAATCTTTAGTTGTTCATGCTGTGTTTAGCAATGTACTGTTTATACATGTCTTTGGCTTCCTCATTTAATACATCTCACCAAGAGAGTATCCTCACAGCATGATTGATGTCATTGGTTTATCTGTACTTAGAGAATGTTCAACACTATGTGTTGATGCATGGCTGCCTTTCTGTCAAGTCTTTTAAATGAGCTTTTATTTGGATTTGTTTCCAATTAGAACCTTGAGACTCTAGGAATACTGAGAGTGTACAGTATGTATTGAAGAACTATACTATTTATGTCACACTTTACACTCTTGCTGATTGTATGTAAGTTAACTTGTCAGTAGGTTTATTTGAGCCAAACATTGATTCATTTTAATTTATTATTCAATAATTCTATTGTACTATAAATTCAGTAACAAAACTAATGTATTTTTTTGTTTTACTGGCAGCAAACTAGAAGAAACATTTCTTTTGCAATGCTGCTGCTTTTGTGTGTTTTTTTTTTCCATTTTAAAAGAAAAGCAAGTGCATCTGTTTTTTTGTGTGTTTTAATTCCATGTATTCTTTGGACTTGATTGTTGTTGGGTTAGCTAGTTTTTTCCATTACACATGTTTTGTTCTTTTTACAAATAGTTTTGTTGTTTTTAATTGAGTACAAACCAAAAAATATCTATCCACTCTATTTTGAGTGTTTGCAGGCTATGCTGCTCCTTTGAAAGTGTCTCCTATTTCATTGCAAGTGCCTTAGAACATTTTGATTGCAAGGATATTTTTTTGTCTTTACATGCAGTGAGTACTACATTTTGGGGACTAAATTCAAAGGTAGGGAGGATTGGTGCCAAAAACAAGATGGTCTCTATTCATTTCCTAATGGACCATGCTCCAGAAAATAGAAAACATATACATTGGTTATATTTGGCTATAAACTCACTTGAATGGTTTAACTGCTTCCACCAACATGTAACAGTTTGAATTTACCTACTAGAAACCACAAGAATTTCAATAAAACATTCTTCTCATGGCCTAGCACATGAGTAGTTGGGTTAGAATTGTGTTAGCACACATCAGTATCTGATGTGTGCTATTTGTTGTCATGGAGTAGTGTAGTGGACACGTCAGTATAATTTGTTTCAAATATATTCTATACAGGCATAATGTATGTGTGTGATGAATGTTAGTTTGTTTTAGAGTCTTTCCACTACAATTGTTAGTGATATTTTTTTAAATCTCATTACCTATCCAGCATGTTTGTAGACCATTGGCACTTTATTAAGGGCTAATGGAGAAACCCTGATTCTTACTAGAAAGTAAAACTGTAAATAAACTGCAATAGTCTTATTGTGTACATAGTTAGATGACACTTTCATGTTTTCTGCTGTTATGTTGGTTACATTCCATTAACACTACTTTGGAGTTCACTGTCTGGCTCAGATCAACTGCTCTAAATAGCACAATAAAAAACAAGTATCAATTCCATTGCAGTGTTTATACTTTTATCTTACTTGTGAATGTGATCTAGGTAACATGTTCAGAATGTTGTTTTAAAACTTGGCATGTAAATGTAGCCCACAAGTTTTGGTCATGAATATAGAATGTCTAGTGTAGGATTATTGAAGAACTCAGCAACACAAGTCAATGTGAATAAATTACCAAAACATTTTCCCTTAATTTGGTCACATGATTGTTTTGTTCTACTTCCCAAACATTTGTAGTTGAGTTAGCTGCAAGAAATAAAGTCTGTTGGAAAAATTAGATGAAGTAATATAATATAAAGAAGAATGTTTTTAGATGGACATTTTCAATATCAGTTAAATATTGAACATAATGAGGTCTATCTATACCTGTCTTTGATGATGATAGCTGGAGAAGTAGCTTTAAACAGTAAACTAGGCAAATTTTACCATTTCAATGAATCTAATTGTAACATGGAGAGCTTCAGATGACGATAACAATACAAAATAAGATGAACACACTATTTGTATTCCTGTTTATTATTCAAATATAAACTGTAGAATTGACATTTTATAGTTTAAAAAAAGTTACTAGCTCTGGTTCTATAATAGTCTTATCCATCTAGCAATGTGTTAACATTTGTTACTTAAACCAATATCAAGAAAGAATCAATTGATAACCCCATTTCTTTTGATAACACTATATATTGTGCACATAAATACATTATAAATAGGCTTTCATAATTTATGAACCACATTAAAATTTTAAAAAATGTGCCTGCTTATTTTATTTTGATATATGATGCTAAGCTTACTAACAACTTGATGATGACTCCCACTGACAGAGATGAGAGTGTATTCTGAAGATACATTCTACTCAACTGAACAAAGTGAACTTTGGATGTATTCTGAAGATACATTCTACTCAACTGAACAAAATGAACTTTGGATGTCTTCTGAAGATACATTCTACTCAACTGAACAAAGTGAACTTTGTATGTCTTCTGAAGATACATTCTACTCAACTAAACAAAGTGAACTTTGTATGTCTTCTGAAGATACATTCTACTCAACTAAACAAAGTGAACTTTGGATGTCTTCTGAAGATACATTATACTCAACTGAACAAAGTGATCTTTGGATAATTCATGTTGTGCTTTGATTGTATGGCTTACACAGTAAAAAAAATGTAAGCTCTGCATGGCCATGGTGATTAATACTAAAAAGAGAAATTATCTTCACAAGAGACCAATGATGGGACAGAGATTGCTGGTATCAAGTTATTTGTAGCCCTATTTGCAGATATTTAGAGAGGACACTGATAGGTAAAGAAAGTCAGTCAAGGTGTGTGATTTTGAATAGGAAAAAAAAACTACTTGTAAGTAAATTATACTTAGAAAATCTCTAGTCTAAGTAATTAATGTAAAAAACGCACTAAAAAATCCCAATGTAATATTTAAATGTAATATTAAAAAATGTGAAAAAAAAGTATGATAATTCTTTTAAAAAATAAACAAATACCTGTAACTTGAAACATCATATAATCAGAATAAATACATCATATTAACTAAAATTATTTAATAATTAGATGCATATAAATTTTTAACTTATAAGTAAAACTTAAGATGTGTACGGTACCTAAAATAAATATAATGTCTAAATGTTTAGTTCCATCACTGAAATGCCCACTGTAAACATTTGTGACCTATGCAATGAAGTCTCAAGGAATCCTAGGCTACAAAAATAATTATTCATTCAAATAATTTATACATCTTAAAACAAGATATTATTTATAATATTTCATTTTATAAAAATTTAAAAAGATATGAAAAAAAATATCAAGATTAACCAATATGTTGAGATTCCTGAAATACAATATTTGTCTAAAATGCAGACACTTACAATCATTATATTGATATCAGAATTGATGGAAATATTGCACATATTTGAAATATTAAGTAAGGGGCGATACACATATTGTTGTACACAGTGACAATAACAGAAGGGCCTTATGCATCTCTATAAGGTCTGTTGAAATTAATGGTAAGCAAACATGTGGATTTTTAGCGATGATGAAGTAAATTTTTTTTTACACCTAACACTATGTCCAGTAAGGTTGGGGAAATAAGCTCACTACAGGCTGAGGCAAACAGCACAAGAAATAGGATGACCATCTGTCCTGGACTTACTAGACCTCAGTGTGGAGCTTTAGTCTTTAGTCAAAGATACTGGATGCAAAAAAAAAAAAAAAAAAAATAAGACAAGATTTCATCTGATCTCTGGATAGATTTCATTTTATGGATCATGCTATTTCATAATTCTGTTTTGTTGGGGAAAATAAAGGCAAAAGAAATCCCCACTATATTCAGAGAAAATACAATACAAATATCTATCCAAGTAAACATATGTGTAGAAAAACTCAAGGGTACACTTTGAACTAGACTTCTACTATCTTGGAATAAATGTTAAACATTAATACACATATCTTGAGCATATGAGTGTTCGTGGATATTCTGCAGATTATGTTGCATTACAATAATAAAGCATGGACAGTGTGTTAAAATATGGTTTTCTTAGCTCTGAATAAACATTATTGCCAATAGGAAACTGTGTGAAAAATCAAGAGGAAAGGATAAAAGAATTCATTCAAAGGGAGATAAGATATCATGCAGTCAGATAATGAAGTGTAATGTACACTGATGCTCATAAACTTCTACCAAACACAAAATGTAGGGACATACATGATGCCAAACATTGCATATAAACAAGAACCTAAAATACATTGAGATTTAAAGACATCATGGCGCCTGAAGTGATAATACATCCTGGCACATAGATGATTACAGATGAAGTTGCACAAAAATCTTACTTAGATGAAAAAGAAAAATAAAGCCATGATATTCTTAAAATAAAGATTATTTGAAATTAAATGTTAACTTGATATCTTAATTCTGAACTGACACAAAAGGAAGAAACAGTTGTAGTTTCTTCTGTTAAAAGAAAAAAAAAGAGATGTCAAGCTAGTCAATTTGTCCAACAAAAGAACTTTTTCATAAGTAAAAAATGTTAAAATAATATCACAAATCTATACAAATCAGCAAATAAAATTTGATACTGACCATTCTATAAATAAATAAATAAAATCACACACTAACAAATATGGCCATAACTACTGTAAAATGAATTTTTCCAGTGCCATCATACAAATAATTTTTACTGCTCATTTTTAGTTTTTAATCTTCTTTGCCTCACATGAGAGTCACTCTCATCATGTATGTTCTTATCACTTGGCAGATTTTGTTCATCTACATCCTCTTCTTTCTCAGACTTATCCTCATCACTGTCTTTGTCAATAGCATCCAAATCCACATCTCTTGTTTCTTCCACTTCTCTGACTGGACCCTCAACACCTTGAACTGCATCTGAAGTTTCTTTAGCCTTCAGGTCCTCTAAAACCTCTTCATGGCTGACAGCTTGCTTTGGAATATCTTTCCCCTCAGCCTGCAGAGTCAAAACAGTTCCATTTATCTTTTACTTAGGATAACTTCCTAGTAAGTATTTAGGATTATTATTTCTGTATGTAACTATCTTCTTATGCATTTAATCAAAGTCATCTATCTACTTAGAGAATAAAGCAAGCAAAGTTACCTTTCTACTTCTGCTCACTTCATTAGCATATCTTAGCCATTTTGAAATGTGTCGATTCACAGAATTCAAGTTAGCTTACCAGAAATCACTTTTAGAAATGTAACCCTTTACTGTTATTATTTCATCCCATTTATACCAGGCATACAAGTCATTTCAAGTATTAAATACATAGTTATTGTGAGTGAAAATTGATTGAAGGGTAAGATTTAGTCAGATGAGACCAGTAGATGACACAGTTGGTTTGATACCAGTACATTTTAGTGAATGTAGAGGTATAGTCAACTGTCAATATTAATAAACACATGTGTCTACTTGGAAGGAGTTTGCTCATTCATTTTAAGAAAGCTGTATCAATGTTTGTTAAATAAAAATAACAATAATCCTAGAATCCAAAGTAACCATTTACATTAAATGATTACCTGATATAGTATATGATTACTTTTACCATACAACAACACTAGCTGTCCTGGATGATGTAGAGACAATGAAACTCAAGATAGGTCTGAACTTAAATTAAAGTTAGTTATGTTACCTTTTCAGTGGGACTATCTGTTGTCATCCTGTTGACATTGTTCTGAACTGACTGCATAGCTTGAAGTATTCGTGTCATTTGGGCTTCTGTTTCCTCAAGACGTTTTTGTAAAGCTCTCATTTCTTCAGTAGCTAAAAAAAAAACAAATTATCATTTATTAATGTTTCACAAACATTTTTTAATATTACAATTTACATTTTTAACCTATAATTTAAAAAATTAGGTTTCCAGTTTCTTTCCTTGTTGAATATAGAATAGAAGAAATAACACATTTGTAATTATCTGAAAATTTCCCTGAAGTCTTCGTTGTTGAAATGTGTTAAAACTAATTATTGTTGTAGTTTGCAGTTATAAATGATACGGTTCTATATTAGAAGTGGAAATGAATATAAACTTCAGAGAATCCTAAATGCTGCTGGTAAAGTCATTGGCAAAAAAGAAACTCCATTCATAAGAAAGCCAAAAAGGTTCTAGAAATAAAAATTCACCCTCTGGGTCAAGATTTTGTGATTTTACCATCACAAAAGAGATACAAGACACTGATAGCAAAGACAGACACAAAAACTCTTTTGTAACCCCTAGCAATCAAAGCACTAAATAAAATTTAGAGATCTGATATAAACTTTTCACATGTAAATTATGAGTGAGTCTGGTGTGAATGTATATTTTTGGTTTTCTTTAGTTAACATGTTTTGTTTGGTGAAATGCACAAATTGTAAGACAAATTTCCAAATGGATAATAAAAATTATTATTATTATTTCCTACAAAATGCTTCCAATAGTTTGCGTCTTAAACAGCTCCTGAAAACCAGTCCAGCTTTTGGCCTTCAGGTGTGACTCAAACATTGAATACTGACAGACTTAGGTCCACCAGCACTGTTCTGCCCAAAGGATAGCAAGCTCTCTACAGAGATCTGTAAATTATTTCTATGTTCCATATTTGCTATTTTGATGGGAGAAGGGGCAAAGGCAAGCAAATAGCACATGATCTAGTAAGCTTTTGGGCAGGAGAGGCTTGTTAGCTCTGGAGATGCAAACCTCTGCTGCCTTATGGCTATACCTAAACTTGGGAAAAATTTTGTAAGTCAACCCTGAGAAAAAATCAGGAGCTGGTGACCTTAGACAGCTTTCAGCACAGTATTAAACCTTGGCAGAACCTGCAAAGCCACTGATCTTAAACTGTATCGGCACCAGCTTTGCACACATCAGTTGCATTGAGAGTAACAATAGCTAATAATAGATTTTATCTCATTTCTGAGATGATCCATAGTTACTTCGTAACATGACTACTTAAATAACAATGAATGACATACTCACAAACATTTTTATCATCAACACGGCTTAAAAGATCTTCAAACTCCTTTCTATGATGTTGATCTTGCAAGTAGCCATGAACATCAGCACTACCATCAAAGTCAGCAGGGAAACCCATTCGGTCAACTGAATAATCTTCATACTGTCCACTGATCTTGCTCCAGGAATTGTTTTTTGACTTGTTGAATACCTGTAGGAAAAAAAACACCACCATATAGCTGAAATTTTATCTCAGCCACTAATAGGAAATGTCCAAGTCTAGAGACTTGTGAAACCACTAAAGACTACTAACATTGGCAATGGTAAGCACTACAATTGAAACTTGGGTCAGTGAAAATGACTTACTTTGAATAAAGTGTAAACCAGGTAGAGCACTATACCAATTGCATACATGGGAAGAACCACACCCATCATGCCTCGGCCAGATCCTTGTTGGGCTTGCTGCCTCTGCATCTCAGCTGCCGCACGCATACCAGGGTGTGGACCTGGCTGCAAAATAAGTGACATTAAAAATAACTTTGCTCTATTTTCATTTAGCTTTCAAGAACATTTTAGAAAGAACAAGCCTGAGTGCAAACATTAATGAACAGTGAGTCTATAAGATTAAGACTACAAATGTAAAACATATGGATAATATGTTTAAGGCTTAAGGAATAAAAATATCCATGGCAAGCCAAAACCAGCCATCTTCCCGTCCCATAATAATCTTTGAGGGAATGTCTGAAAGTTAGAAAAAAAATAGAGATGCTCAAGATCACAATGTATACTGTGAAAGCCAACTTCCAAGGCAGTAATGTTTAGAATTACAATGCATACTTTTAAAAGCTGACTTACAATGAGAGAACATTAGACGTAAAGTAAACATACCCGTAGGTGCTTACGTATGTCATCTCCTTGAGTCTGGGCTTTCCCATCTGCTGGCTTGTTTTTGTAGTGAGGTGGAAACATACTGTCATCTGTCAAATCATTTTATAGTTGGACAAAACAATAACAAATTCAACTAAATGATACTTTTAGATAGACATCAATATTTCTAAATATAATAACAAGCTTAAAATAGTCATTATGTACAATGCCTATGCATTGATTAAAGATTTATTGATATTTATTGACAGCTGCTATATGTAGCTTCAACAGGTATTTACAACTTTAAAATTCATAATAGAGATATTTACATTTTATTTATTATTGTAAAGGTACCGTTTTCAGACCTTGTGATATATGGGGCCAGATAATGTAAAGATCATCTGTTTCTGTGGCCAAAAGTTAATGATAGTGTCAGGTGGCTTTTACTTACCCAAACATGTCAGGTACTCATTAGAGGTAGATGGACTCAGGCATCTTAAAAATTCAAAAGTTCAAAATCCCCATCTTCACCATTATTGGAGCTTGCAACTCTTTGGTTTGGAAGGCAAGCGCTTAACCAATCACCCACCATGCCCTCTTTAATTAGGTAGAGATTTACAATAGACATCTCTACAACATATATTCACAGATTTGTATAGTCTTTTACAAATTTATACATGGTTACGTTTACAGTACATAGATATCTATGTCTAGAATAATTTACAGTAAAAAAAAAAAAAAAATCTACATTAAGATTAAATCTATCTTTAATTTATTTTTAATGACACTTTAAAGCTTATTGTACAGGTGTTCCCAATGTTTTTCTTTTTAAATACATACTTTTGGTAGAACACCTCCTGGTGACCATATTCTATCAAATATAATTTGCAACTTATTCTACGCTGCTATTTCATTGCAAG